AGTTGAGTTCACATCTCACTACAAGAAAAAGACACTTTTACGACACGTAAACCACGACACTCATTAATTTACGTTACGCAAAAGAGAGTGACATTAAAAAAGTGTCATCTTCAAAAAAAAAAGATAGGATTTAAGTCACGCATTATTGTGTGCCCTTAAATTAGTGTCATAAGAAAAAAAAATTAAAACACGGACGACGTATCTTAAATGCACGTCCTGTATAAGTGTCGCTTTATAGTTTTATGAAACGCGCGTTTAGTAGATACAGAGGCAAATGAAATCCCCAAAATTTTGAAAACCCGCCTTGTTCTTTTCTACCTTATTTCTATCTTTCATCTTTGCAATCGCTTCTCCGCTACTCCTGACCTTACTTGTTAATTGTCTTATCGGATATCTGGTCTAGGTAACTTTGACTTTATAAATCTGGATGTTGGAAGCGATTAAGGAAATGTCCTGCTATAAGAGTGAGCACATTCCATTATTTCTTGATGCAATCATCTTTTTCTACCCACATCGACTATTGTGACATCCCCAAAATCACGGCCAGAAAAGACCAGTTTTGTTTATACTTTATTTTCAAAATCAGAGTAATCTTTTAATAAAAGAGTTGCGGAGTTTGTTCCAAAACAATATTATGATAAAGATTTATCAAAAGCATTCCCATAGAAATGTATTTCATTAAAAAGACTCGGGATGTCATGTTCGATATAGTACATAAGTATAAACAATATAACATAGGCCTTACTACATTATTCCGTATTTACAGGCCTAAAATCCATTAATATCTTATCCCAATACATCACATCTATGCTCATGCGCCACTACCTGTAATACAAGAAACTGAGTGGGTCAGGCTTGGGAGCCTGGTGAGCACATAGGGTTTTCAACCCGCAATAAATATGTTTATTAACTTTATCAAACCAAATAAACCCAATTACTCATTCCCGTTATCCTCACTTTACGTCCCTAAGACATCTAACACAAGGGACCTAGTCTAAGGACTATCATCGGGATGGACACTACTGCTAAGGGGATTCCTCAGCCGTAAATGTCCTTAAGGCAACCATGTGGGGGATGGAGTACATCTGGTGAGCATACAATTCAAATAAACACACAGTTCGAATAAACACCTACAGGTTGCGAGCCTTCTAGTGTTCCACTGGACTGTCTAGAATAGTCTGTGGTCGTCATCTATACTCCGCTAGATGACTGGATCATCATTATCATCTATAACGAGGTCTTTCATTATTTTATTTTGTCACAAAGCAACTATTACATCTACTCATGTTTTACCCAACACAATTTGTAGATATAAAATACATATACAGTTTAAATCTTTGAAAACATGTATAAAACGTTCATATAGCAAGTATTCAGATAATATGCACACATAGCAGGTAATTTATATAAAATACTTCATATCTATGTGTAAGCTGAAAGTAACTATGCACTCACCTGAGAAGGTGGTGACTTGGTACTCGGATAGCGCTTCGTTTACTTTAAAATAATTTTCTTCGACGAAACCTAGTATTATCACCACTAGATTTTAGTCTAATATTATCGTGACTAATTATTAATCTTATTATTATTATTATTATTAGAGTAAATTACACGGATGGTCCCTATGGTTAATGGTTACTTGCACGCTTGGTCCCTAAAAAGTTTTTTTAACTCGGACCATCCCTAAAACCTAAATTTGTTACCCGTCCAGTCCCTAAATTAACTTCACCATCTATTTTGCTGTTAGTAACCCCCACGTGAGTAGCACGTTAGGGGCATTTTTGTCCTTCCATGTTTATAGCCACTTAAAGACCTACCCAACCTTCTTTTTATCAATTTCTTCTTTCTCGTTCTTCTCGGTGCACTGGTGCACAGACTTCATCAGTAAGCTCCAAATAATAACATGCCTGAATGTTGATTTTTTATATAAGTAGCAAACTTGAAAATCTTTTAATAATAAACTTCAATACCATGACATGTATCCGAGTCGTGAAGGAGGAAAGGGGGAAGAAAATGAAAAATGAACCTTGTTATTTGGTGTACAGCAAAAATGGGTCTGAAGGGTAAATTTGTTTTAATAGCATCATTCTCCTTTGATTCTAACGTGGGTTCAAATCGGGCACCTACACTAAAAAATCCTTCTTTACTATTGTAAATCCAAGTTGGAACTTTCACCTGTTATGAAAAAATCAGCAATGAACAAAAGATTAGTTAAAACTCATAAAGTCATATTCACCTGTTATACAAAGAGTTAACAACAGATAAGATATAAAATCAAGTTTCTAAGATGTCTTAAAACTAGCTTCATGGACTAACTTGATTTGGACTGAATAATTCCTTCCAACTAAGCAATCCATATAAGTTTTACATCATAAAATCAAGTTTGCATATTGCAAGCTTCTAAAAGATGTCCAATACACTGAATTGGAAAATTTCACGCAAAGAATTCCTAAATTTTTACTTCGTCAAATGCTAGAATCCAAATTGACAAAACCTCATATCTTTCTTTGCTTCTTTCTCTCCCTCTCTCTCCAACCAAGAAGGAGCTTTGAAAGCAGTTGTCTTCGAATTCCTAATGTCTGCCTCTGTATCCAGACAACAAAATCCTTGTGCATATTCCTCTACCTAAATCGATCCCCAGGTGCAAGGCTGCCTTTGTATGGATGAATCCTCTCTAAATCTTAAGACACATTGTCATTATGAATCGTGAATCGTTTCCAAATCCCAGAAATCGATGACAATGTTCATTGTTTCCACAACCTAGAGAATCGCTGACGTTTATTGTTTTCGCACCATAGAAATCATCGATGTTGTTTATCGTTTCCGTAGACTCCTCCATCATCAGCGTTCTTCATCGTCTCCACACCAAAAAAAGCGTTTTCTTAGATTCCGAAATCGATCTATGTGTTTACTTTTTCTTGTGACAGACTTGTTGTTCGATTTCAAGGAGAAGAAGCGAGTTGCGATGTGGCAGATGATTCGGGAGAAGTGAAGAAATAAGAAGAAGGGTAAGGACGTGAGGGCGTTGGGTGGCGGTGATTTCTTTTATCTCTTTCTGTCTTCTTATATTAAATATAAAAGTAAGGGTAGATATGTCTTTTCACCATAGTTTAACAGCAAAACAAACAAAAAGTTAATTTAGGGACCGGGCGGGTAACAAATATAAGTTTCGGGGACGGTCTGAGTTAAAAAAACATTTTAGGGACCAAGCATGCAAGTAATCCCTAACCATAGGGACCTTCCGTGTAATTTTCTCTAATTATTATATAAGCGTTTAAACAATACTTTCCAACCACTATGTACAAACACGGGACAAACATAAAACACCGGAGGGCAGGACCATTTTGGCGTATAGCACTTCTGAAATCCAATAACCCTATGCGACCCTTTAAACCAGATTCCCCGTACCACGAGTAGTTAAAAAGATATTATAATGAAACTTATATAAGTCATAATAATAGCTCAAATATTTATTATAAATTTATAATAACAATACTAATTTTAAATATAAACTATATTTAAAATAGGGTAAGCATAATTTTCTTACAATGGGATTTTAGCTAGGAGTCGGGCTCTGCAGGGGCAGAACTTCGTCGCTGAATCTTTCTAAGAAAGATTCGTGCAGCGCTTCAGCGCTCACCTTACTATAGTAAAACTACAGAAAGAGAAGTCGAATCACGAGGGACCGAAATGCTCGGGGGATAAGGAGAGAAAGACTCTTCAATCAAGAGAATGGTGCAAGAAATATGAAAACCGAAGCCTCTTATTTATAGTAATTGAATTTACAAAAACTACCCTCTATAATTACTTAATGACCTTATAGTTATATAAACAACTAAACACCCCTACATAATACTATTTTAAATAGATTTAACGATATTTGCACTAAACTAATATCGAAAGAACTCAACATTAGTCTTATAATGATCGCATCGTCGATACCTTTCTAATGTTATATACATATGTGTATATATATATATATATATATGATTTATACTTTATTTTAATACGTAGATATGCTGTTATAATTTGTAACTCGTTCATACGAACTCCATTTTTGACGTTATTTATATTCACGCGTAGGTGGAGACGTACTCTACAACTTTCGTTTAGACAGGATTGGTCCGTTAAAATCTCATAACTTCTTTATCCGATGTCCATTTTCGTCTGTCTTTTTATCGTTACGCTACTAATAACGAGATCTTCGATTCTCGTTTAGGTTGTGTCGGCTAAAAACCGATCGATCTAATACTCGAACTTCGGGTTGTACACCGCTAAGCCGAAACTTCGAAAAAATCATAACTTCCTCATAAGAAGTCAGATTTGGGCGTTCTTTTTATGGACGCTCTCAGGTTAACATATTCTACGACTTTCATTTAGATTACTAAGGCTAAAAGAATCTCTATCATAAATTCACTATCTACCACTACTAGAAAAAAGGCCTTTTACGACGCTCATTGCGCGTCGTAAAACACTCAGACGACGCGCAAATGCGTGTCAAGGAAGGCCCTGTCATAAAGAGAGACGACGCGCATTTACGACGCGCATTTATGACGCGCATTTACGACGCGCGGTTATGACACGCATTGCGTATCAAGGAAGGCCCTGTCATAAAGGTAGACGACACACATTTGCGTGTCGTAACCTTACGACGCGCGTGTTTATGACACACAATGCGTATCAAGGAAGCCCCTGTCAAGAAAGGCCATGTCATAAATGAAGATGACACACATTTTTGCGTATCATAATTTTAAATGTTCTAAAAAAAATATTTATATATTTATTAATTTTTAAATTAAATTTGCATTTAATGTCTCATAATAGAAATAAAATATCATATACAAAAAATACAATCCATTGCATAAAATTTAATGTCATACAATTCTATTTTTTACAATATCTAAATTTGCATCTAATCTACTCTCTACATCAAATTCCAGCTAAGTAAAGTTGCATCTTGCCTTTCATAATTCTTTAAGACTAGTGTTGCAAGATTTGAATCAAGTGGCTTCATATTCGTTTCTTCCACCAACTTTACCTGATGCACAAAATACACAGAAACAAAAAAACATTGTAGAGGAAGGGGTAATTTGGGAAAATGTGAGGGGTATCCTTTGCAAAACAAAACAAAAAATATCCTTTGCAAGATTTGCTCTTTAGTATCCTCTGGAAAACAAAATAAAAAATGTATATCAAAAAATTAAATTTTTTATAGTTTTATATTATAATACACAAATAACTAAAAGTAGGTTGCGATTTCTTAAAAAGTAATTCAACTTTGGCATATTATAGCTTACCTTCTCTGTTGGTGGCAACTGCAATGAGTTCTTTCACAGCTATATCAGAAACAAGATAAAACTACAGAAAAAAAATGTAGGTTAACTCAGCAAATGATAAACCAATAGTTGGTAATTTTAAGTCCATTGTAGCTTAATTAATTGGGCTCGAAGTGACTTCTCAAAAGCATTGTGAGAAACAAAAACAAAAATTTTCATCTTTTTTTTTTTTTTTTTTTTTTACAAAAAATGATTTTTTATTAGATTTGTGATTGAAATCAGACTTACTCTCTATATGTACTAATTTTAAGTCCATTGTAGCTTACCACAAGCCTAACTGTCATGCTTATGTCCTCCCTGCAGCATATCACATCAAAATTCAAATACTTGAATTAGATGATAAATTAAATTAACCATACTTTATTTTTTTCAAAATGTAAAGGAATTATATACTGCTATTAATATTCTAGGTAAAAGATTATCATTCATGGCATAATACCTGAGAAGATCAGAATAAAAGTTATGATGCTTGTTGACCTTATCTTTGGGAAGAGAAGCATAGTTTTACCTCAGCTTCTTACAGATATCAAGCATTTGCTACAAACGGGATCAAACAAAGAGTTGAAAGGAATGATGAAAACTGTGAAGATACAAGACATTGATGTTAGTATAAATATTATGAATATCTTTCTTTTGATACTTTGTAATTACAGATCATTTAATCTTGTTTTTATGTTTAGAATTTTCAAGATGAAATGATGGACATGATGGATATAAGCAGTGAGATACAAGAATCTCTTGGTAGAAGTTTAGTGTGCCAGATGATATTGATCATTTAATCTTGTTTTTATGTTTAGAATTTTTATGTTTAGAATTTTCACTTGTATCTCACCGCTTATATCCATCATGTTACCTGCCCATATGCAAAGATACAACTATTATATCCAGACAAACAATTCTCCACCATTGGTAGACCAACCATCCTAAAAAGAGTTTCCTGCACAAATTCATACTTCTTGTAACACATTGCAATTAAGAGAATCAAATTCATGTAGAAACAGAACTCAGTATTGCTCATTTCTGGTACCTGGTCAATTGTTTCACAAGCAACATGGTCAAAAGTAAATCGTGTTTCCGGATGCCCTACCCAGGTCAGGCATTGTGCAGTTTCTTGTTGTAAACACCTGTTGTAACCTTGAGCACTGAGTTCCATGTTGTTGAGCGGACGAATTCGTATCAAAACCTAAAAAAAGCAAACCCCATAAGCTAAACCTTTTGAAGTTGAATGATTGTGGAATTAGTATAAATGTTATGTCAAAAAGTGAACTTACTTGTACATTATGATCCATCCAGAATGATGGATCTTCTTTGAGGTCGATAACGCTGCAAAGCTTTTACCAGAATTCATGAAATCAGTGCTTTTACCAGAATTCCGACGCAAGAACTTGAGATCTCGCAACAATCTGGTTAACAAAGGAAATAAGAATTTGAAAAGAGAATTGGAATATTATAAGTAAAGACCAAGTGCAACTGAAAAATGTAACATTTAAACTTAGACTGATAATAAGTTTTTTTTTTTTTATTTTACTGAGAAAAGGTAAAAGACCAAGTACAAACCTCTAATCTAACATAATTGTTTTCTTTATTGTCCTGTGCAGCTTCCTATTGCCATTTTCAAGAAGTTACTTCATAGATGATGGGTGAAATAGGAAAGCTTAAATACCAAAACTTGCATATCTTACATTTTTGTAACATCCGGATTTTACCAGGTATAATGTAAGTTTAATTGTGTTATTTTGTAAGAGGGACTCGGCGAGTTGGGGCTCAGACTCGCCGAGTAGGGACGCGGGATTGAGCGAGGGTGCGCACTTGGACTCGGCGAGTCCAGGGTATGGACTCGGCGAGTCTGCGCTGTGTTATGAAACCCTAAATCTCCGGGTTTGTGGCCTATTTAAGGGGCTTTATGGCCGTCATTTGCACTCACCCAACCCCCAGAGAGTGTCCCTAGAGTTCTTGAGCGTTTTGTGAAGGAAAGAGAGCCAATCTTGATCTTGTGTGTGTTGTTTAGCAAGAAGAAGGAGGCCCTAGGCAAGAGGAAGCAAAGGAGGTTGCTATTTCGTGGATTTGGAGCTTGGATCATCACTCTAGAGGTATTATTTTCGGACCATTTTCTGTTTGGTGAAACTTGATGCAAGTTAGGGCTTAATATGATCATTTATGGGGTGATTTGGTGCCCTTTGGTTCCCTCTTTGAGTTGAGACCATGGATCTGGATCCATAGAGGTCCAGAGGGCCTCACTCATCAAGCTTTATGGGTGGAAATGGAGTCCTTGGCCTTGTGTTGAAGTAGTAGAGTCAAAAACATCATTTCTGATCATGTAGAGGTTATTTACGCATCAAGATTGTGACTTTACGTGCTAAATAAGCATGGGGGACTGGATCTATGGATTAGTGGACTGGATCTGGCCTTTAGAGCAAGATTGAGTCAGTGCATGGCACGGACTCGCCGAGTCCGAAGAACAGACTCGGCGAGTAGCTTGAATGTTGCACGACCACTCAGCGAGTGGCCTTGCCGAGTTGGGATGAGTGAACTCAGTGGGTCAAGGGGGAGTCAGGATGGACAGGTGGACCGAGTCAAACCGGACTCGCCGAGTTGATCTTGAGACTCGGCGAGTTGAGTCGTGGTGGCCCCACAACTCGTGCCAGGTGGAGCTCGTCGAGTTGGGAGGGGATGCTCAACGTGTCAAGAGAGGATTCCAGGGAAATTGGTGAATGCACTCAGACTCGCCGAGTCGCTATAGTGCACTCGCCGAGTCCGGTCAAGTTGACCGTTGACCAGCGTTGACCTAGATTGTCCTGTTATGGTATAGTCAACCCTAGTTGGGAAAGTGTTAATTAGAGATATATTGTGCTATAGGGGGACTTCAGCTCGGCAGATCGAGTGTTTAGCGATTTCAGGGTTACGGTTTACCGAGACACGCGAGGTGAGTCTTCTCACTATACTTTACCTTGAGTAGGTAACCAGAGTTATGTGATAGAGTATTTGTATGCCATGTATGTTATGTGTTGTACTGCATTACTTTTATGTGTTTGATGCTGTGCATGTTTACAGAGTTAGAACCGGAAGGTTCACAGAGTTAGAACCTGAAGGTTCACAGAGTTTGGGTGCACGGACCCACAGAGTTATAGCCTCGAGTGGCTAATACGTGTTATATGCAGTATTTTGGGAAACTCACTAAGCCTTGTGCTTACAGTGTTGATGTTATTTGTTTCAGGTACTAGTGACGACCGTGGGAAGGCGCCGGCTTGATCCGTACACACACGTTTGGATCTTGACATTTTGATCTTGGGATTTTGTACTATTTTGTTGAACAATTAAAAAGGGGTTGTTTCTATGAATATTGATGGAATTATGTTTTATAAAAATCGAAAATTTTGTTTGAAAAATTGGTGTTACAAATTGGTATCAGAGCCTTGGTTTGAGGGATTCGGGTACACCTTCGGGGGTATTTGAACTCAAACTGAGGAAATGAAGAGATATTTTCAAAATAAAAACCAAAATTTTCTAAGAGTAAAGGGTTTTCCAGGAAGAAACGTGTGTACGATCAGTCAGCGCCCGAACGGTGAATTCCCAAAATATCTTTTGTTATGTGATAACTATTATTGTGATGTGTGTGCATGCTAGAGTAGGCTAGGTATTGCTGATAGGGCTAGAGTGGCCTGTTTTGTGATGCCTTAGCTTAGGGAATGGTGAGCTGCTATGAGACGCTGAGAGTAATTAGGTAGCAGCTAGGGTTTTGTGTGAGATCTGTTCAGAGAGATTTAAGTATAATAGAGTACTTGGGGACTGGGATCCGAAGAGGACGATTTGGGGTGTGTACCGAGACGGTGCGGACAGTAGTATTGGGCCCGTACTACTAAAAGCACCGGAGCGGTACACAGTTCAAATAAGAATCTGGGGATGCCAAGAATCAAGGAGGGGTGGATTGTTGAATGTAAGGGTGTTCGAGTGAATTCTAATTATCGCATGTTGTATTTCAGAGGTTGATCATGGTGAGGACACGACACATGCCGGAGGATGCCGGATCTAGTGATGAGGACATTCGACAGATCATTCATGAGGAGGTGGCTGCGGTCATCAGAGCCGAGATACCAGAGATGTTCGGGTCCATTAAGACCGCTTTGATTGAGACGTTTGACGAGCGCTATGCCGCTCTTTCTGAGGCTGCGGTTGCAGCAGCTACCGCAGCGATTGCTGCGGCGAGACCCCAGGGAGGTGATGCGATGTTGTTCAGGGAGTTCAGCAACACCAAGCCACCAGAGTTTGATGGTACGCAGGACCCGGTGGCAGCTATGAGGTGGATATCTGATATGGAGGGATGCTTCTTCACTTGCTCGTCCCCTGAGCATTTGAAGGTTCGGTTCGCGCTGAACCAGCTTCGCTTGGGAGCGAAGGACTGGTGGAAGTTTGTGACTGCGCATTTCACACCGACTGAGCTTTCGGCAGTGACCTGGGAGAGGTTCACTTCCATGTTCCGAGATGAGTATGTTCCTCAGGTGGAGAGGGAACGTCTGGCACAGGAGTTTCTGACCCTCAAGCAGGGTACCGAGTCAGTTACAGCGATTACGAGGATGTTTCAGGAGAGGGCGATGTTTTGCCCTGAGCACGTGTCCACCGAGCAGGCACGTATGAGCCGTTATCTGAGCATTTTGAGGCGGGATATTCGGGAGTTCGCTGCGAACTCCTCGTACCGGACATTTGCCGAGCTTCAGGCAAATGCTCGGAAGAGGGAGATTGAGCTTGAGACTCAGGCCAGGGAGGAGGCGGAGTCTATGGGGAGGGATCGGCGGCCGGCACAGTCCCAGCCGGCAGCCAAGCGGGCCAAGCCCGCTGATCCCAGACCCGGGAGCCAGAAGGGCCGCACTTGTGGGAAGTGCGGCAAGGGTCACGATGGCGCCTGTCGGGCAGGGTCTTGCTACAAATGTGGCAAGGAGGGGCATATGGCTAAGGACTGCCCCAAGGGATTTGCAGTGTGCTTCCACTGCAACCAGACCGGACACCGGAAGGCGGAATGTCCGCTGCTGCGCGGGGCATCTCAGGGGTTTGCTCCCGCCGCCATCAGAGCTGCTGCTGCTGCAGAGAGTCGGCCCGTGAAGGCCGAGGCACCGAGGGCTCGGGGGAGAGCCTTCCAGCTGACTGCGGAAGAGGTCCGCGCTGCACCCGACGTTGTGGCTGGTATGTTTCCTTTTCATTATTGTTTATGGTGTTGAGATATTATGCTTATATCATGCTATGCTTAGGTACCTTCCTTGTGAATTCTGTACCTGCTTTAGTGTTATTTGACTCGGGTGCGAGTCGATCTTTTGTGTCCTTGGCATTTAGTCAGCGTATCAGTGTTAGTCGTGGAGTATTGAGTCGGCCCCTGCGGGTTTCCATAGCCGCCGACAGAGTGATTTGTGCTACAGAGGTCTTCCGGGGATGTGTATTGGAGATATTCGGGGTCGAGTTTCCGATCGACCTGATTCCGATTGCGATGGGTGATGTCTGTGTTATAGTGGGCATGGATTGGTTGAGCCGATTCGGTGCGGTTATCGATTGCGAGCAACAGCTGGTGACTATACGAGATCCTAGTGGGGGAGTTCTTTCAGTATACGGCGAGGGTACACGTTCTGGATCAGCCTTTTGTTCGGCTGCTAGGGCGAGGCAGTGTTTACAGCAGGGCTGTAAGGGTTATGTAGCGTATGTGATGGATACGCGAGTGATCTCCGAGAGACCGAGCTCTGTGGAGGAAGTTCCGGTGGTGCGGGAGTTTCCAGATGTATTTCCCGAAGAGTTACCAGGTGTGCCTCCCGCGAGGCAAGTGGAGTTTGGCATCGATTTGGTTCCGGGGGCCGCGCCTATTGCTAAGGTGCCGTATCGCCTTGCGCCTCCAGAGATGCAGGAGTTATCCTCGCAACTTCAGGAGTTGCTGGGGAAGGGGTTTATTCGGCCGAGTAGCTCGCCGTGGGGAGCACCCATCTTGTTTGTGAAGAAGAAGGATGGCTCGCATCGCATGTGTATTGATTACCGGGAATTGAATAAGCTGACGGTCAAGAACCGTTACCCGCTACCGAGGATCGACGATTTATTCGATCAGCTACAGGGAGCATCTTGGTTCTCCAAGATTGATTTGAGGTCGGGCTATCATCAGGTGAGAGTGCGGGACGAGGACGTCCAGAAGACAGCATTCAGGACGCGTTATGGGCATTATGAGTTTGTGGTGATGCCTTTTGGGCTCACTAATGCCCCGGCTGTGTTCATGGACCTCATGAACAGGGTATGTCGGCCGATGTTGGATCGGTCGGTGATTGTTTTCATTGATGATATTCTGGTATATTCGAGATCTAGTGAGCAGCACGAGGAGCATTTGAGGGAGGTGCTTGGGGTTTTGAGAGCGGAGAAACTTTACGCAAAGTTCTCCAAGTGCGATTTCTGGTTACGGGAGGTCCAGTTTCTGGGACATCTCGTTAACCAGAAGGGGATATTGGTCGATCCGGCCAAGGTTGACGCAGTGATGAGGTGGGAGGTGCCGAGGTCACCTTCTGAGATACGGAGTTTCCTCGGGTTGGCAGGGTATTATCGGAGATTTATTAAGGATTTCTCCAAGATTGCGGTTCCACTCACCAGATTGACCCGGAAGGGTGTGGCATTTGCATGGGGTCCCGAGCAGCAGACCTCCTTTGAGACGCTTCGCCAGAGGTTGTGTGAAGCTCCAGTATTAGCCCTTCCGGAAGGTATGGAAGGTTTTGTGGTATTCTGTGATGCATCGATCCTAGGATTGGGAGCGGTATTGATGCAAAGGGTCATGTGATAGCTTATGCATCGAGGCAGTTGAAGCCTCACGAGACGAGGTACCCCACACATGATTTGGAGTTGGGGGCAGTGGTGTTCGCCCTCAAGATTTGGCGGCACTACTTGTATGGGGTTCGTTGTACGATTACACGGACCATAAGAGTTTGAAGTACTTGATGGATCAGCCTAACCTAAATATGCGGCAGAGGAGATGGTTAGACGTGGTCAAGGATTATGATTGTGAGATCTTGTACCACCCGGGCAAGGCTAATGTGGTAGCCGACGCGTTGAGTCGCAGGGCGGAGAGTACTCCCCTGCGAGATGTATGTTTGAGATTGACCGTGATAGCTCCAGTTCTGGACGCCATTCGTGGGGCTCAGGCCGAGGCCGTGCGTCCGGAGATGCAGAAGAGAGAGCGGGTTGTTGGGATGGTTTCTGAGTTTATATCGGATAGTCGAGGCCTTATGACTTATCAGGGCAGGATCTGGGTACCGTTTGTGGGCGGTACCCGTGCTACATTGATGGAGGAGGCTCATAGATCGAAATTTTCGATCCACCCCGGGGCCACGAAGATGTATTTGGATCTAAGGAAGGAGTATTGGTGGCCCTGTATGAAGAGGGATGTAGCATGGTTTGTCGAGAGGTGTTTGACCTGTCGAAGGGTAAAGGCCGAACACCAGAGACCGCATGGCAAGTTGCAGCCATTGGAGGTTCCCGAGTGGAAGTGGGAACAGATCACTATGGACTTTATCACCAAATTGCCGAGGACTGCCAGAGGAGTTGATGCAATTTGGGTGATTGTGGATAGATTGACAAAGAGCGCTCACTTTCTTGCCATCAGTGAGAGTTCTTCAGCAGAGAAGTTGGCGGAGGTTTACGTGAGGGAGGTTGTATCTCGGCATGGGGTGCCGATCTCGATTATTTCAGACCGCGATGTGCGTTTCACTTCCCGTTTTTGGAAGAAATTTCATGAGGAATTGGGTACTAAGTTGCATTTTAGTACCGCATACCACCCCCAGACCGACGGTCAGAGTGAGCGGACGATACAGACACTCGAGGACATGCTTCGAGCTTGTGTATTGGATTTTGGGGGTAGTTGGGACTCGTATTTGCCTCTAGCGGAGTTTTCCTACAATAACAGCTATCATTCGAGCATTGGTATGCCGCCCTTTGAGCTGTTATATGGTAGGAGGTGTCGGACTCCCATATGTTGGGGAGAGGTTGGGCAAAGGGTAATGGGCAGTACAGAGATCGTGAATCAGACGACAGAGCAGATACAGCTGGTCAGGCAGAGGTTATTGACCGCTCAGAGCCGACAGAAGAGTTACGCGGATAGGCGCCGGTCCGAGTTGGAATTTCAGGTCGGCGACTTTGTTCTCCTGAAGGTCTCTCCTTGGAAAGGAGTGATCCGGTTCAGGAAGAGGGGCAAATTGGGACCCCGGTTTATTGGCCCGTTTCGTGTGATCGCCAGGGTGGGCCGGGTAGCCTATCGGCTGGAGTTACCAGCAGAGTTGGGACAGATTCACAACACTTTTCATGTATCGCAGTTGAGGAAATGTATAGCCGATGATTCGGCAGTGGTTCCACTTGAGGATATTCAGGTTGATGCGAGCCTGAATTATGCGGAGAGACCAGTGGCTATTAGGGATCGGAAGATCAAGGTTTTGAGGAACAAGGAGGTACCTCTGGTATTGGTTCAGTGGCAACATCGGAAGGGATCAGAGATGACCTGGGAGCCGGAGGGTATGATGCGTGAGCAGCATCCGGAGCTGTTTTAGAGCGGGACTTCGAAGGCGAAGTCCAGTTCTAGTGGGGGAGAGTTGTAACATCCGGATTTTACCAGGTATAATGTAAGTTTAATTGTGTTATTTTGTAAGAGGGACTCGGCGAGTTGGGGCTCAGACTCGCCGAGTAGGGACGCGGGATTGAGCGAGGGTGCGCAGTTGGACTCGGCGAGTCCAGGGTATGGACTCGGCGAGTCTGCGCTGTGTTATGAAACCCTAAATCTCCGGGTTTGTGGCCTATTTAAGGGGCCTTATGGCCGTCATTTGCACTCACCCAACCCCCAGAGAGTGTCCCTAGAGTTCTTGAGCGTTTTGTGAAGGAAAGAGAGCCAATCTTGATCTTGTGTGTGTTGTTTAGCAAGAAGAAGGAGGCCCTAGGCAAGAGGAAGCAAAGGAGGTTGCTATTTCGTGGATTTGGAGCTTGGATCATCACTCTAGAGGTATTATTTTCGGACCATTTTCTGTTTGGTGAAACTTGATGCAAGTTAGGGCTTAATATGATCATTTATGGGGTGATTTGGTGCCCTTTGGTTCCCTCTTTGAGTTGAGACCATGGATCTGGATCCATAGAGGTCCAGAGGGCCTCACTCATCAAGCTTTATGGGTGGAAATGGAGTCCTTGGCCTTGTGTTGAAGTAGTAGAGTCAAAAACATCATTTCTGATCGTGTAGAGGTTATTTACGCATCAAGATTGTGACTTTACGTGCTAAATAAGCATGGGGGGACTGGATCTATGGATTAGTGGACTGGATCTGGCCTTTAGAGCAAGATTGAGTCAGTGCATGGCACGGACTCGCCGAGTCCGAAGAACAGACTCGGCGAGTAGCTTGAATGTTGCACGACCACTCAGCGAGTGGCCTCGCCGAGTTGGGATGAGTGAACTCAGTGGGTCAAGGGGGAGTCAGGATGGACAGGTGGACCGAGTCAAACCGGACTCGCCGAGTTGTTCTTGAGACTCGGCGAGTTGAGTCGTGGTGGCCCCACAACTCGTGCCAGGTGGAGCTCGTCGAGTTGGGAGGGGATGCTCGACGTGTCAAGAGAGGATTCCAGGGAAATTGGTGAATGCGCTCAGACTCGCCGAGTCGCTATAGTGCACTCGCCGAGTCCGGTCAAGTTGACCGTTGACCAGCGTTGACCTAGATTGTCCTGTTATGGTATGGTCAACCCTAGTTGGGAAAGTGTTAATTAGAGATATATTGTGCTATAGGGGGACTTCAGCTCGGCAGATCGAGTGTTTAGCGATTTCAGGGTTACGGTTTACCGAGACACGCGAGGTGAGTCTTCTCACTATACTTTACCTTGAGTAGGTAACCAGAGTTATGTGATAGAGTATTTGTATGCTATGTATGTTATGTGTTGTACTGCATTACTTTTATGTGTTTGATGCTGTGCATGTTTACAGAGTTAGAACCGGAAGGTTCACAGAGTTAGAACCTGAGGGTTCACAGAGTTTGGGTGCACGGACCCACAGAGTTATAGCCTCGAGTGGCTAATATGTGTTATATGCAGTATTTTGGGAAACTCACTAAGCCTTGTGCTTACAGTGTTGATGTTATTTGTTTCAGGTACTAGTGACGACCGTGGGAAGGCGCCGGCTTGATCCGTACACACACGTTTGGAGCTTGACATTTTGATCTTGGGATTTTGTACTATTTTGTTGAACAATTAAAAAGGGGTTGTTTCTATGAATATTGATGGAATTATGTTTTATAAAAATCGAAAATTTTGTTTGAAAAATTGGTGTTACAATTTTGGATCTGATCATGAATTTTGTCTTCTCTAAACTTCAACATCATCTTTGTGCACTTATTGTCATCCTCTCTTTGACGAACCTAAAAGTAAATTTCAGTTTTAAATACAATATGCTAGTGATGTCATATTATAGACCAAATTGGATAACAATTTACCAGTCGATTTAACTGTTCTATTTCTGCTTCAAGTTGTTTAATAGAAGCTTCCGACATTTGATCTCTTCTCAAGGCTCCAGTCAATGAAGTCTCTAAAGATTTCAGCTGAGAAACAGAATGAATACAAGTAAATGAGAACCAAAATGGTAAAATCATCAAACAACAAGGTTTTGTCGTCTTTGTAGTATCTAGTTGAAAAACAAGTATAAATAGTAGCTAATCGTTATAATTTCTTGTGAATTAGCACAATGAAATAGTAGGTAAAACATGAAACCCCCTAAATATTACTTAGTATACCTGTTTAGAGGAAACCTTCAGGATTTTGTTATCATGTCTAGTGCAATCATTCTCGTGTTCTTGGGTAGCCTCTTCAATGACTTTTGGACCAAATGCTAAAGACCTGGATATGTTGTTCCTCTTAAGGATAGCAAGCTCCTCCTGACTGAATAAAAAGATGGTTATTTCATAGAATATGGATACAATTTTATTGGGTTTGAAAAAATAACAACAGAAGAAAAGAATTACCTTTAGCGGTTGTATTTGCTGTTGAAGCACCATGATATCTCCGGAGGCATCTTCATTTACAACACCCTTGGAAACAGAAAACAAGATGAAAAGTTTAAAAATCGTGCTTTGAATAAGATCAAAAAATTAAAAGTTTACAGTATTCACCTGTAGAAGAAATGTCAATCTTGAATCTCTATAAGGAACATGACGTGTCCTTGCATTAGCACCATCTACTAGAACCATTATCACATGACTAGAAAGATAGATTTCGTGTTACAAATATGAGAGGAAAACAAAACAAGAAAAAGTACAGCAAATAAAGTTGTTCATACCCTAGGGTAGATAATGATTTGTTTATATTTAATTTGTAGCTTCCTTTAATCATTCACCTTCAGCACCCGAAGTTTTTTGTCTATTAAGACAAAAGGAAAAGGTTTGATGAGTAACAAAACAAGAAACTATAAAAAAAAGATTGTAATCAAATGCAACACCTTTTTGAACCAGCCAGATCAACAAGATTCAGCCTTGCAAATCTAAGGTTAGATGTCGAGTCTTTCTCCCACCTACTTTCAATCACACACGTGAAAACACTGTCATTGCTTTGATACCCTTTAAAGTTGCAAGTGCAGAATCTAAAGCATTCACTTTAGGGATATTTCCTTTCTTTAGATTTTTGTATGTGTTAATAAATGGTTCAAGGGTAAGAAAATCTTCCAAAGAAAATGAATCACCATTGACTGCTAAGTTGACCACAACACTAGCCAATTGGTTCACACTTTGGGTACCAGAAAGTACATTTGCCTGATCGATTTGTGTCGGCAAGAGAAGGGTATTTCCGTAAATTACCATAAACAAAAAAGAAAAAAAAAGTAACAATGATACAAACCTTGACTTTGTCCCTAGGTTGAGCACTCCCTTTAAGAGATAACTTTCTGGATTTGAGAATGTCTGAAAGCATAATAGCTAACCAACCTTGGGAAATGGGAATGGAAGAAGGTCCATAATCTTCACAGATACGAGAAAGGATTGTGATTGCAGAAGATCTAATAGCATCAGATGAAGTTTCCCTAAATACCCATGGAAGCAGAATGCAAGAGTTTATACAAAAAGTTCCAGCCATTATTTACATCAAAATTCATTAACAGGAAAACAAATAACATAATTTTAATATTTCCTAGCAAGAATTACTATCTTCTGTGCGGTTAAAAGATTTGCCAAATACCATTTTCACACCAAGCAAATCAATAAAGAAAGAGTATATTGGAAAGGGTCTGTGATGAAGGAGTGTAACAGAAGAAGAACCGAGCAATAGAGAGAGTGGGTGAACCGGTGAGTAGTGATGTAGGATACGAAGCATCTTAAATAATTATTGGAATCGAGATTCACCGGAGGAATTGGATGTAAGAATCGAAGAAACATACCAGGAATCGATGAGATCGATACTTTATCGTAGCATCACGTTTTTTCACAAGTTCCCGCTCAAACCAAAATCGGCGATTCCAAGTCCAAAATTGGCGATCCTAATCGCGTTTCCGTGCAATCCGGATCGCCGATTTCATTGTTCCATGACCGAATTAAAGATTAAACGGGATCGCAGGGTACCCGTATCAGATAGCGAATCGGCCACCGACTGGAACGAAAACGCACCCCGTTTGGGAACGGGACATTCGGAACGGAGATCGTGAGTCATATGGCGATCTATGTGACTATGTGGAAGACCACTTTTTTCCTTCTTCAAGAGACAAACGCATGTCCCCTGAACAAAGTGATTCCAACCCTTTTGCTAATGATTCTTGAACAGACTTATGATTCATAGTCCTTTTAGCAGTCTCCCTCATTAAATGAAGACCTTTTTCCATAACTACCCTTTGAGCACCAGGGCACCTCTCGAGAGATAGTAAAAATGCAGATAAAGCCACACGAGTTAAAGAGATATCATCGGCTTTGCTTGCTTGAGAAACGGTTGTAAGAAGGGTAGAACTCCAATCAGAAACAAAATCATTCATGGGGAGATTTTCGTCTTTTAACAACAACTGAGCTTTTTATAACAATTTCAACATCGAAGAAACAATGAAGAACAGGACCACCTCCGATTAGGGCTTTTTCTACTGCTACTTCTTCACCATCTTCTATTTTTTCTGTATTTAGACTTGAGAGTATAATTAGGGCTTTTTCTAACAATTTCAACATTGAGTGGGAGATATGGTGGTTCCAGTAGGTAGAAGTGAGGGAAGAAGTAAGCAGCAGTCAATGTCGGGAGGGGGAAGGAAGGAGCGTCCAGGGCAAGAGGGAAAGGAGAAAAAAAAGGAAGGCGGGATTTTTAATTTTTTCAGAATTTCATTTCCCCCTACTGTTAAAGGATGGAACGCGCGTTCCATTAAAAATTATAAAGCGACATCCTTAGACGACACGCATTTTATTATAGGTGCCCTCCGTGTTTTTTTTAGACACTAATTTAAGGGCGCGCAATAATGCGTGTCTTCTATCCTTAAATTTTTTGAAGAGATGACATTTTTCTAATGTCACTCTCCTTTGCGTAACATAGATCAATGAGCGTCGTATTTTGCGCGTCGTAAAAGGCCTTTTTTCTTGTAGTGTACGTCTCCCGGTGCCGTGCCGGTTTTGCCATAAAAGTTCGACGGGCCATAACTTGTTCGTTATAACTAGGATTTCGACACTCTTTATATGTACGGAAACCTTGTGACATATACTAAAACTTGGTTGAGATTATTTATTCTTAATAATCTTTTATCGAGAAGTCATTTTCGACCTCTATTGCCTCTAAATTGACTAGCCCGGATCTATGAGCGTTACAACTATCACTGCTTGTTTCCCTCGTACTCCGACTGCCATTGCCTTCTCTTTCCTGTTGTCGGCATCCATAAAGGCAACAACATGCGTGTCATCGCCAAATTTATTCTTTGCTCTACCCAGTTTCCCTTCTCATCACACACTTTCTTTCCCGCTTTCAACCTTATTTCCTTGAGACAAACCCACCTCCTCTAGCTACTTCTATCATAGAGTCGGTGATTTGTGGCATTGCGACTTCTAATCCCTCACAACATTTGTTACTCATGATTTTTTTCATCCTTACAAGCCCTAGGTCCGATATATATTTTCATTCCTTTCATCAAATGAAGAAATCTTCCTGATAGAATTCCTTTCATCGAATCCAAATCTATGATATTAGTGATTGTTTTGATGTTTCCAATCTTTATATCAGTGTTGTAACCCACTATAGGGACTAGTGTTATGATTACTGAGTTCGATTATGTGGTTGCGTTTGTGATTCTAGGGGAAATTGGTGAAGAGTTTCCGGAGTTATGAGTGGTAAAATGGTGGGGAATTCAAGTGAGGAGTCTGGGGTTAGCAGATCATTACAAGGATCATCAAATGGGCAACAACGTTCTGGTGAAGCATTGGCTAAATGGCGCTATTCTGAAAAAGTTGACAATGGAATCACTTCAACTTCACCTCCCTACTGGGATACAGATGATGATGATGATTATAGTAGGCTTCTTTGTTTTATCTTTTTTATCTCTATTTTCCACTCTAGGTTTAGCATATATAGAAAGTTTAATCAGCAGAAATCAATATTTTTTGGTAACTCTTTCTTTGAGTCATGCCAATTTTAGAACTCATACTTAAGTTATGAGAATACATTCTGAAAGAATAATGATTCATGTCATTGGTTTGCAGTAAGGTGAACTTATGATAAATCATAAATCTACTCATGTTCATGTTCATTACACGTAACCTATTAAATTACTTTTATTCTTGTTAATGTAACTCACTTGAAACATGATACCTATTGCAAGATCAACATGTAACATAAAATTGTCAGCAACCAAGTTTCACAAAATTGCAATTAATAGGTTCTTGTGACAGTAGATTTTAATGTAACTTGTTTGGATAAGGATGCTCCACATTATAATATGTATTTTTTTACTAATTTTTTACCTTTATTTATATCACTTGTGAAAGTATGTTGTTTTAATATTAGCTTAAAATTCATGTTTTAACTAAACATATCTATCTTTCCTTACTGTAGGGATAGATACAATGATTTAAATACTTTCTACATGCAGGTGAGCTTCCTTTACTTATTAAGCTTAAATTTTGTGATTTTCTTCCAATATTTTTTATTTTCAATTTTGTATTTGTATTTTTCCAAACATACACACACACTCACACCAGGCTACTTCAGGTACTAAAGTTGGTTCAAGTGGTTCCACATTGATTAATTGGCAAGGAAGGGCAATTGCACTGAATGCTGGTAGCAAGACTTCTAGTGCTTCAACAATTTTCTTTCCTCTATAACGCGTCAATAAATAATTATCAGACTGTATTTTTATTAGTTTTAGTTATAAAGAAAAAACAAAAAAAAAATCATAAATTATATCAATAATATTGCTGCAGGTGGTGAGGGCTTTAAATTTCTTTCAAAAGGAGAGATATTGTGGTCAAGATAAGTGGAAGGTTGTCTCAATACCTCGTTGTACCCTCCATGTTTGTTTGATTTAACTTTTAATTAAATCATTAAATGAGAGTTCCTGAATCTTGATTTTGCTTACCCTTTTTCAAAAATGATTTGTATTTACATTTATGCCACTGCTTTTATTTAGGCAACTTTTGTCTATAAATGATTTGATGAAACCCATAGGCTAGGCCTGCAAACCGAAAGAGAGCAGGTTTAACGTTTTATACTTTTATTATTCTTTATTCCTTTTTCTTTTTATAAAAAAAAACTTGAATTGTATTTCTGTATTATTTATCAGCTTGTTCGTCGTGCATCTCCACTGACTGAAATGGGAATGCTTGTTGTTGATTATGTGGTATGTCATAGCTCATAAAATATAAATATCACCATATTTCATACCAACAAATACTAATTTATAACAAGTGTATATACAAGTGACTACTCAATTTCTAAAAATGGAGACTTTACTTGATGATAGTGTGGGCCAAAATGTTTAGTTACAGTTTGAAAGGGGTGGCGCACCTTTAACTTTCTAGTTAAAGGTAAGTAATTGTATTCTCTAATTCTCTTCATGAATCAAGCCATAAGATGTAGTAAAAGTTAAAATCCTAGTCAATGATACTAATTCTCGATATGTTATTGTTATCTTTAGGTGGATGATTTATACTCCATAACTCCAAATCATTTTCTTGAAGTTAGTGGCGCTGTTTTACACCTTCTCTCCTATCAACAGGCTAGGAATTTTCGTTTTCCCTGTGGTCTTGTATATGTATCAAATCCTAGGTAAGTTAAGTTAAGTTGTCACAAACCCATGTGCAACTTTAAACATAAGCTCAACCGATTCTTCACGTTACAAACAACATCTAGAAAATCTGTTATCAAAATTACCTATTTGCCCTTGCCCGTTATCATATAATTAATTACAAACAACTCGATGGAATTCTTTCATTTGTTTTTATGAAGGATATTTTAGGTATTTGATGAGTCATATTAATTTAACTACAACAAAATTCATTGTTCAGTCTTTACCTGTATAAAATCTAAGACCTCTCCGGTTGTCAATATACAATCAACCTCTGTAGTCATTTCACCCAGATTCATCATGAAAAACAAAGACCAAAATTGAAAATTGAAATGTTCATTGTTGGACTCTCCGGTTGTCAATACGGAATCAACATGTATTAAATCTAAGAATTGTTTTCTTGATCCATTTTAATTAGGGAAATTAAAATGTTCATTGTTGGACTCTGAACAAAGACCACAATTGAATTTTTTTCCAATTGTGAAGTAAAAATCAGGAAGCACATGCACCATTTTTGTAATTTACTGATAAGAAAAAGGTAGTGGGGTGATGGTTCTTGTGTGTTTATAGATAATGCATATGACACAACTGATAAGTGGCTTCTGAAAGAGAATTTTCCAACAAGTGGTTGAGTTTATATTAAAAAATTCAAGACAAAAAGATTTCATTCTTGATTCATTATTCCATGATCCTTACGTTGGTTGTAAGTACACATACATATCCATCATCACAATCACATGACATGACATACTGTGATTGTGATCCAAAATTGATAATTATGTTGTTTTATTATTTATCCATTTTAGATTTCTGATTAATGGTTATAACTTATATGTTATGTATTATCTCATTTTCAACCAGTGCTTATGTGCCAGGGCAGCCTTCCAGGTCTGGTGGTATGTTTTATGTTGATTAATTGCCACTCTTTGGATATGTATATGTATATGTATATAAAGGAATTTTTTAATATGAACAAGGATAAAAGTCTAATGGTTTGGTTGGTTTTCTTTTCTGATTAGAACTGTCAAACACTCTCCTGCAAATTCAAAAGGAAGATGGCACAGGCAAGGAGTATCTTTTGGGAGCCGCCTTTGAGGCCATCAAAAATACTTTGATTCAAGGCAGTAACAAACTCTTATTGGTAGATCATTTTGATTCCACTCTCATACATACATACATACATACATACATACATACATACATACATACATACATACATACATACATACATACATACATACATACATAAATACATACATACATACATACATACATACATACATACATACATACATACATACATACATGCATGCATGCATACCATGTGTATTATTAATTAGTTGTTATTGATATTCTACAACTGACATGATTATTGTGTAGGATTTCCGTGTTGTTCTTGATCAAGAGTTGGGATTGATATTGAAGCTAAGATACATGATGAACGGTTGGATACATGAAGGGTTTCGGAGCTTCTTAATACAACTTAATGATGAGTTACTTAAACAAGAAGGTGCCTCATTATAGCAATGTAGTATTAGGTTATATAGTTAGGGAAAACCTCTTAATAACAACGTACAATCAGATCCCTTTAATATCAGTGTATTACAATTTTTTGACATGATGTTAGTGGATGAAATTGATTGTTTTGGTATATATTTATTTATATTTTTTTGTATTATGCGTAAAAGAGTATCGTAAAGGCATGTCGTATATGCATATCGTAAATGGTTGCAGAAGTTTATGACACGTAAATGCGTATCTTCATTTATGACAGGGGTTTTAATGATACACAATGGCCAATGGGTGTCCTAAACGCGCGTCATAAGGTTAAGACACGCAAATGTATGTCGTTTTCCTTTATGAAAGGCTGTGACATCCCCATTTTTACGGTCGGAAAAGATCGATTTTGTTTACACTTTGTTTAAAAATCAAAGTAACATTTTAAAGGAAAGTGTTGCGAAATTTGTTCCCAAAAGAAAATATGATAAAGTTTCATCAAAGCATTTTCGAAGAAATGTATTTCATTAAAAACCTTGGTAGTCATGTTCGATATAGATCAAAAGCATAACCAGTACAATATAACGCTTACAACATTTATTCATAACTATGGGCCTATAATCCGTAATCCCTCATCCAAACATCACATCTATACTCGTGTGTCGCTACCTATAATACAAGAAACTGAGTGGGTCAGGCTTGGGAGCCTGGTGAGCACATAGGGTTTTCAACACACAATAAATAAGTTTATTAATTTCATCAACCAACAATAACCTGATTACCCGTTCCCGTTATCCTCACTTTACGTCCCTAAACACCTATTATAAAGGACTTAGCCTTATGATCATCATAGGGATGGACACTACTGCTAAGGGGGTTCCTCATCAATAAATTTCCTAAAGGCAACCATGAGGGGGATGAAGTACACCGGTGAACACATCGTTCACAAACACCTACAGGTTGTGATCCTGCTAGCGTTCCATTGGACTGTCTTGGTTGTTATCTATACCTCAACTAGATGAATGGAAACATCGTCAACAGGCCTCTCATCATTTTATTTCATCACACCCAACTATTACATCTACCCATGTTTTACCCAACACATTTTGTAGATATAAAGTACATATACAATTTAAATCATTTAAAACATGTATAAAATATTTCATCCAACATAGACAACAAGTATTCAAACAATATGCACACATAGCACGTAATTTGTATAAAATATATCATATCTATGCGTAAGATGAAAGTAACTATGTACTCACTTGTTAAAGTGACGAATCAAAATTCGAGCAGCACTTCGTTTCTTAACAATATGATATCCTTCGACGAAACCTAGTATTATTACCACTAGATTTTAGTCTAATATTTATTGTGACTAATTATTAGTTTGGATTTGTCATTAACTCAAAGTCTACTTCACGATCCATCAACTAAGGAACAACCGTGAAGGATCATATCGGAGGTAGGGTCCGTTTGGTATACGAAGTATACTGTTTGGAAATCCCACTTTAAACACCTCACTAAATCAAAGTCTAGACATCATTCCCGTAAGTAGATCAATCAATATCATGACTTTGAATCACTGATAAATCTTATTTATAGGTTCATACTAACAATATTATATTTAAATATAAGCTATATTTAAAGTATGGTAGGCATATTTCACTTACAGTGGGTTTCACTAAAAAACTGGGCTTCGCTGAAGCAGAGTTTCTGAGCTGAAAGCTCTTCTTGTCAGAGCCTTCAGGTGCTCCGGGGATTTCCTCTAGTGCCTTGAGGCTAATAGGGCTTTAGGAGGGTTTTTGGTGGTTTAGAGAGTGTATATATATATATAGAGAGAGAAGTGCGTTTTGGTGTGAAGAATGAAGGCACTCTTGCATGGTATATATAGGCTGAAATACAACTGAAATCGTCGATTTGGTCCGCCAACTCGTCGAGTTGGGTGCCACATGTCACCATCTGGTGGCAAGACTTAGGGAGAAAGCAATGGCTCAGATCGCGCCACGTCACCCGCTTCGCAGCAACACACTCCCGACTTCTAAACCCTGTAACTTTCACATACGAGCTCCATTTTTGATGTTCTTTATATCCACACGTAGGTATTGACAAGATCTACAACTCTCATTGTGACTCCATTGGCAAATTCTCAGGTAATTTTAAATTTAACAGTATGAGAAGATTACACTCTTAAATGACCGTGAAGAATTCATAACTTCTACATACGAACTCCGTTTTCGTCTGTCTTTTTATCGTTGAGCTCTTATTAATGAGATATTCAATTCTCATTTAGGTTGCATTGGCCAAAAATCGATAGATCTAACATTTGAATTTCAAGTTGTGCATTGCTATGCCATATCTTAGAAAAATCATAACTTCCTCATAGGAAGTCAGATTTGGGCGTTCTTTTTTATGTATATTCTCGGTTTAACGTATACTACAACTTTCATTTAGATCTATAAGGCTGAAATGTAGTTTATCAAAAAAATCACTTTTTACGATTCCCGGTGTCGTGCTAATTTTGCAGTAAAAATTCAATAGGTCATAACTTCTTCGTTATAACTCGGATTTTGGCATTCTTTATGTATCCGGAACCGTTGTTTTGACCACTAAAAGTTTATGTATAGATATGGGGTTTATATAACACTTTATTTCCGATGCTTATTTTTATTATATATTTATAAACTGATATATAAGCACATAAAATCACATAATTCACATAAATTTCAATTAATTCATCTTTATTACTTCAAAATAGGTTAAAATGGTTGGCCTTGAATATTACATCATTATACTAATGCGTAGCCCAGAAACACGGGCGTTACAGACACGAACTTCCTTGATACGAATTGTGTGTCGTAATTGAGCATAGTAAATGTGTGTCGTAATTGTGCGTCGTAAATGCGTGTCGTAAATAGACGACACACAAAAGCATGTCATCTTTCGTTATGACATGGCCTTCCTTGATACGCATTTGCGTGTCGTCTGAGCATTTTGCGACACGCATTGCGCGTCGTAAAAGGCTATTTTTCTAGTAATGCTTACTATTGAGGTTCAATAGTTGGCAACAGATTTTTAGGACCTTCGCCAGACGACGGATACTATGGTGGAGATCACCGCCAAGTTCCGGGAGAGGGATTTGTTGGTTCCGCAGTATTCTGCAGATGAGGAGATGAAGAAGACGAGATATCACAACATGCTCAGGGATTCCATTTGAGAGTTTGAGCATATCGATACCTTAAAGGATATGATCGCCAGAGCCAAGGAGCAGGAGATTGAGTTGGAGCTCCGGATGAAACGCAATCCAGAGCAACTTTGGAAAATGATGGACCCGGTGAAGAGGCCTACGACTTTTGATTCTCGTTCTAGGGGCCAGCAGGTTCGTGACTGTTACGGTGAGTGTGATAAGGCACATGACGGGGCTTGTCGAGCAGTGGGTTCTGTTTGTTTTAAGTGTGGTCAAACATGACATTTTGGTAGGGATTTCCCTCATAGATCATTGATCTATTTCCACTACAATCACATGGGCCACAAGAAGTGCGACTGCCCAAGATTGAAGGGAGGAGCACTGATGGCACCCGCATAAACTACCTTGAGGATTAATGATGGCCGACAGGGCAAGGCCGAGGCTCCCGTGGTGAAGAGTAGGGCATTCAAGTTGAACGCCGAGGAGGCACGAGCAGCATCAGATGTGATTACCGGTATGTATCTGTTGGATAAGGTGTCTAAGTCCATAACTATTTCTGGTATGTACTTGACCCGACCCGGCATGGTCCATTTGGGTTGCATGGCACCATGCAATTGGATAAACTAAATGAGAGAAATAACGCTTGGAGATTATTAATATATTATAAGTTCTAATATATTAATAATATTATTTGATTAGTTTGATCAAGAATTAATTTAGAATTAATTAAGTGATCAAAAGATAACTAATTAAATATATGGGTTGATTAAGTAAATCATCCATATCTTGTATAGTGGGCTAAAAGGCTCCATGGATCATCAAGTTGGGTTCCACCCATAGGATGCTCCATGGATGCTCCATGGGAGTTACAAACCCATGGGTCATGGAAATGAAGAGTCATGACACATTAGGGTTTAACCCTAGATGTGTCAACACTATATAAGGAATATAATCTCCACCAAAATCGGTTGCAACAAAGAAATAGAGGGCTTGGCCGATTTGGAGAAGTGAGTATTCTCTCATAAGTTCTTCCAAGAGCATTTGGTGTTGTGTGAAGCATTTGAGGCATCACCACTTGAGGTGCTAGGCTCACAAGGTTTCAAGGAACACAAGCAACAACAAGGTAAGTTATTCTATCTATACTTTATGTTAAAATTGTTCCCCATGTATGCTAGATAGGATATAACCTTGGAATTCAACTTTGCATGACAAATTAGACAAACATAGATCCAAGGTTATTAGGGTTGCATGTACACTTAGGAAGTGTTAGTATGCTCAAAACCCATCAGTGGTATCAGAGCCTAGGCTTGTTTGTTCTTATTTGTTTCTTAAAAGTTGAAAACAGAATCGAAAATTTGGTGTCTGCGATCGGACTCGCCGAGTCCATAGGGGGGACTCGCCGAGTCCATGTGTATCTTCAACCAACTCGGCGAGTCATGTTCATGCACTCGGCGAGTAGGGTCGAATGAGTGCAGAATTTCGATTCAGTTGCTGGAAAATGAATTAGAAACATTACCCTAAACTGTTTTAGTAAATGTAAACTTGTTTTTGGTGGTGTAATGTTTTGCTAATTCATTTACAACAACTAGTTATCAAAATTACAAAGTTTTATGTAATTTTTGATTATGTTCATATTCATGTTCTTGTTCTTATGATGTTTTAGATGATCATAGGAATTATTTGTAACCTATTTGGTAGTTTAATTCTTGATCATAATGTGTTTTAATGGAGTCCATAACTTATCCTTAAGTTATGGAAAACCAAGAGTCACTTGAGTTAAAAACCATTAAGAAAACACAAGAGTTATAAAAATGAAGAGTCTTCATTTTATGACTCT